GTTAATAAATTTTCTAAATTTTTGAATTAATTAATATATTTTGAATTATTTTATATTTAATTATTCTTGAATTTTCTTTAAAAACTAAAATTTTGAGATCTGTCAAAAATCTGTTGGAAATATTGCCGTCAGAAATCTGTTGAAAATATTTCATCAGAAATCCGTTGAAAATACCTCAGACTTGTTTTGTCAGTAATCCATCGAAAAATTTGATTGTTTTTCGACAATTTTATCTGTCGAAAATTTTTGACGGATTTCTGACCAAAATTAATTTCCGACAACTTTAAACCGACGATATTTTTCCGTCGGAAATCTGTTGATTCTAAACTTTTTTCTTGTAGTGTATAGTTTCTCGACTCGCAGCTGCATGACAATAAAACTGTGCAAGTTTGCACCTTGGCAATCTTATGAAGCTAATTTAAGCATCTATACTGTGAATAAAATATATATATTTTTTTTTTTGATCAAAACACTTGTTTCTTTTTATTATGTTGATTTCCGGTGTTAAGTGTAACAAAGGTGCATTACGACTAGAGCTTGTTTATAGTGTTGATGCAATTGTTCAACCACACGACGATGAACATGTAACATATATATACTGTATATCATAATAATTAAGAAGCTAAATCTTCAGATGGGCTTGGCTTTGAGGACAAGGTCTTCTTCCTTTCATTAGTAGCCTGAATTTGTGATTCGGTAGTCACTCGACTCTGAAAATTTTGAATATCCATAATAATTTAGAGAGAATTCACAAAAATGTTTGGATAGTACATGATATGGAATGTTGGATATCCACGGACTCCGGTATATATTTTGTAAAATGTTTGGACGTATACCGCATATATTTTATATTAATTATAAATGGTTTAAAAAGAATACAAAATCAAATAGATAAAAAGCTTGGTTGAATGCACGGTAACTATGGTTTGGAAGGTGGTGGTGCGGCTGGTGATAAGATGGTGGTCTGGCTCTGTCGCTCTTTCTCCTTGTGACCTGTCTTCAATCTCTTCTTAGAATCGTCTGGGGTTTTTTTTGGTTCTTGTGTCCTCTTTATGATTAGGTCTTGTCTTCTTTTTTGGATTTTGCCATCATTTTGATTGTGGTTTTGCTTTCGGGCTGTGATATATGGCTTCGGTTCTAATGTTGGTTGTCTAGGATTTGTAGTCTACCGTGGCTTAGGAGTTTGGGTTACTCTCGTTAGTCATTGGAGTGTGTGTGTAGTCGTTTGCCTGGTTGGGTTAATCTTCGATTAGCAACCTTTTATTCGATATATCTTTCTCACCCTCCTTCCACCGCCCTTTTAGTTTAATTGAATAATAAATTTTCGCATGTGGTTTTTCGTGGCCGGTTCTTGTAAGGCTAACCTCTTGTGGGGATGCATAATTCTAGATTTAGACCCTTTAGGTTAAAGATTAGGTGGATTGGAGTTTAGATTATCGATCTTGGTTCCTTGTTATTGTTAATCGTCGTATTTGGGTTATTTATTCGCGGTTCCCCTTGTCTTGGCGATGTTTTGTGAGCTTTGGTTATTCCGCGTGTGCTGCTCTTTACGCGCTCTTCGCGTTGATTACGAGTGTTTCTTTCATATTTTTTTGTTTTGTGGTAGTTTGGTTTTCTAGATATCCTTAAATTGTAGAATCTGATTTTTCCTAAACTTTAAGACCTTGGCTTCCTGTAAAACTTTCGGGCTTTGTTTCTAGGTTATCCAACATTGTAATAATATAAATCTTCCAGTGAAAACAAAAAAATAGATAAAAAGCTTAACCAAGTGCCAAGTGATAGTAGACTAGTGATTTTTACTTGTTAAAGAATTATCAAGACAAATGATTAAATCTCTCCCAATGTGAAGCTATCTAACTACTGCACTTGACTACTCTTTAAACGATAAAAATACACAAATCTATGAGCCTCGAGAATTAGTATGGAATTCAACTTAGGAATGAATCCCATTATAAAAAAAGAAAGATAAAAAAGCTATTAAATTAATTAATATTACCATGACAAATAGTAAATCAATATAATTAGAATTTTAAGCGAACTAAATATCCAAAATAGGTTAAATCTATATTCAAAATCGTTATAGTCGTACACATGTTAAAAGAATTTAGAAAATTTCACGGGCAATTTTTTTTTCTTTTTCGATTAAGTAACGAAAAAATCAAACATTACCAAAAGTTTTTTTTTTTTTTAAATTGCTGATTTTGCTTGAAATTTGATATAAGACTTTGCTCGAGTCGTTTTTAATATTGAAAATAATTCGGAAAAAAAAAATAGACCATATGCTAAACTTTATTATTCAATAAGTAATGAGTGCATAAACATGGAGTGAATAATGAATGATAAATAAATATTTCATCAAAATCCCAAATTTCTCTTCCAAGATCATTATGTTGTTTTTTGTTTTTTTTGCTAAATAATCATTTTGTTGTTCTATAAAAACATAAGAGAGAAATGTTTAAGAAGTGGGTCGAACATACTATTGTATCCATCGCCATTAACATTCTTAGCACCTTTTAGAAATCAGTAATCTACATGAACAATTTCATCTTTAAAGTTTTCACAGATTGGGATTTATTTTGGCAAACTTACAATATAATCAAAAGTTTTTTTTTGTTTTCATTTCTCTCATGAAAATCCAAATAACTGTACTGTTTTTTTTTTTCTTTTCAAAATCCAGCCCACAAAACAACTGGAGCCTGTGAGCTGGGCCGGTTTTTGGACTCACTCGAAACAAAAGATTTGATTATTTCGATGATAATGAAAGTAACGATGATGGTACATCATCACCATCATCATGATTTTATTTATCATATATGATGACATAACCAACATGATTCCGAAATTGAAATCGTGCGTGTTTGACTTTGACCAAGCTTATAAAAGCTTGAAAATTCTCCACGTCATCATCTTTTGTCGTTTTCCCTCTCATTCTCACTTTTTCTTTAATCTCATTTTTAATTTCACTGTACCAACTCTACTGAGTTAAAAAAGAGACTCCTCTAACAAGAAAATTCTCTGATTTTTTTTTCCGTCTAATCTTTTAATTCAATTCGTCTTCCTCCGATAATTTGCTTCCTCCTCTGTTTTCCACCTTTTTTTAGTATTTTCCATGAAATATCTCTCTTCATCTTTCGTTCTCTCTTAAGCGTTAAA